ATTGCATTGTCTTTATAAGCTGGTATTCATAGACACTTGCAAAGCAAATTCTTCTAAATGGGAATACTCTCTTCCCCATATTTTATATAACAATCATAATCACAACTAATTTGACAGCGAATATTTTCCATGCCTTGCCCTCATTCATTCTTTGAAGCACTTAGTTCAGCTTTCATTGACAACTTTCATTTTTCATTCATACTCCTATTTTATCGCTCTGATAATCAATTGAATAACATCTCATTAAGTTTCACAAGAGCGGTTGTAATAAGTGTCATCAGGTGCGACAACTTCACTGGGTTCTCATGGGCCCTGTAACTCACCTAGTGTGAACAGAAGTGTGCAAGTACACTCCTGGCACAGGCCCTGAGTATTTACTGCATGCTGGCTTCCCTCGGATGTTCCATGGCACACCACCATGCCAGAAACAGCTGGTGTGTGCAACAGGACGAACTAGTCATGTGGACACTAGATTTGCTACCTACAGTGTCCACAGATGACTTAAAACATCTGGAGTCACCTGGGTAACCGTGTCTGGGGGAAAAAAAAGCATGAACAAAACAAGATCTGGCTTCACTTCTCTAGCAAGTATCCAAAATAAATATTTATTTGAAAAAGCATGACAAAATGCCAGCTTTTATCTTAGTCTCAAGGTAGTATTCTTAAAAAAATTCTTATTTTTACTTGTGTGTGTGTATGTGTGTGTGTGTGTGCGCGCGCGCACACGCGCACGCGCACGCGCGCGCGCGCGCGCGCGCGCATGTATATGCTGTGTGTGCGGATGCCCAAGAAAGCCTGAGAGGGTGTTGGATCTCCTGGAGCTGGAGTTATAGGTGGTTGTGAACTGGGTGCCGGGAACCAAGTTCAGGTCTTCTGGAAGAGCAGCAAGCACGCTGATGTAACGGGAGCCATCTCTCCAGCCACCCATTCTCACTCTTGGCTTTCTTCCTCACAGACGGATCTCACAAACATATGAGCATATGTCAGTCAGCCTGACAAACACCCACTAGTAAAAATATTTGTAGATGAAAACATTTCATTCCCCGATAACTCGCGGAGAGGAACAAAAAGCCTTGCCTGTGCAAAGGAGGAGCTGAGTAAATACAGGCCGAAACAGTCTGCTAGTACATAGGTCTTTCCATTTTCACGCCCTGATATTCGCGCACAATGAGGAAATGCCCCGTGTTTATCCTCCAAATGAACTTGGTGGAGCAGCTCGAGTGTGACTTGGGCCATTCCCGGCAGCAGTCTGTGGGAGCGGTGACCTGGAACGCTCGGTGTAAAAGTTACTGAAACTGTCGGTGTACAGGAAATCACTGCTAAGTGTAAGTCCAAGTGAGACTGGAAACCAGGAGGTTGGGAATCATAGCTGTGGAGAAACGAGGGGGAAATTCATGGTCAAATTCATACGCCTCTGAGCAGGAATACAGCGCAGGATCCAGACAGTGCCAAACCAGGGGGGTGGTGGGGGTAGTGTGTGTGTGTGTGGTGGAGGGGGGAGACACTTAACCATGCATAAGACTCAGAAAGTTGGGTAGGAACCTATCCAGTCAACTGCTCTCAAAGAAGACTTTATATCAACAATATAGTAGAGGGAAGACTTCCTTAGTCAATCTGATCCTTTGACTATCTCTGTAGGAAAATTGTGTGTCCGTGTGCCCATGCGAAATGACAACCGGAATACGTCCATGAAAGGCTAAAGGAAATGGAACTCAGAACACCAGAAACTATGGGAAAACAGCACTTAAATTTCCCCACCGAGTTATATGGAGGCCAGAGAACTGTAATTAATCATTTGTGCTTCATTAGCTGCTCCTTATTTTTGCAGTTCAACCACTGTACAAATAAAGAGGCAAAAGTCACCTTTTCTTATTGTTTTACTTTGCCACTCAGGCCAAACTTTCAAAGCTGGTCCAAAGATGGAAGGCTAAAGGCCTGCCCTGGCTTTTCTCACTTATAGGTACCTAACTATGAGTGTGCCAGTTTCAAGTTTATTTTAGATCTCAGTAGAAACCAGGGAAGCTAATCCTTTTCAATTTAGGATTTGGTGGGTGTGGCGATCTAGGAAGACCTGGGAAATAACTACTGTTTGGTTTGGATGTTATGCTTGTCTACCATTAAAAGAGCATATAATTATAGCCTAAATGTAGACCTGGAGCTTGAACAGACTAATCTAAACTTTCAAAACTTGTACCTTTTAATGTTAACCATTGAAAAGTATAGTACGCCAGATGTTGTAGCACTGTTAAAAACATTGAGCTTAAGTTGAAGTCAGGACCCTTAAAAAAAAAAATCCCCTTTTGTATCCCCTTGCTCTCCAGCTGGCATTATGCACCTCACGGGGTGGGGGCTTCATCTGATCCATTTTAGAGAAGTTAAATGAATTATTGTAGATAGCTCAGTCTTTTGCCTAAATGCAGGAGCGCTCCCCGCTTTCTCTGCGAGAGAAACCCTTCTTGCCCCTCCCCCACGCCTCAGGTCTTAACGTTTCACAAAATAAATCTAGAGCTCCTGGGTTCTGCGAGATTGCCTATTCTAGACAAAGTAGCTAGAGGAAAACAAGGGGCGGCGAGATAGAGACCTAGCAGCTCTCTCTCCCGCAGAAAAGTGGTCCGGGGGGAAAAAAAAAATCACTATCTGGTACAGACTGCTCTTCCTTTCCCCAACGCCTTCTCCGGAAAGGCTCTCTCTCTCTCGGGCAGTGGAAAGGCAAGGGACACCGCGTAGGACAACCTGGGAGCGGCAGGGGGTGGGGGACCCCGGAACCCGGTCTGTCACCTGACTGCCAGGAAGACGGACGTGCGGCGGGGAGCATCGAAGGGGAGGGGTGGGGTAGGGGGAGGCGCTGGTGGAAGATGGCAAGATCCAGCGCTTCCTGGCACAGCGCTGGCTCCTTCCCCAGACGTGCTCTCCCGCTTTCGGTCGGTGCCTGCCTTTCCAAGACGGGCGGGGGGGAGGAACCGCTGGCAGAGACCCGGGTTGGTCCCGCTGCGTAGCCGGCGGGAGGCGTGGGGGGGGGGGTGTCCCAAACCAACGGTTTCAGCCGCGCACAAGGTAGTGCAGGAAATCTCTCAAGTCGTGTTATTTGTGGCGCGAGGGCGGGCCAAAGCAAGAGGTCTGCTTTCCAAACAGAAGGCTTTCGCGTCCCTCCGG